TTCTCTTCCAGGTACCTACACAGACAGGAGTCATGGCAGTTCTCTAAACTTCCCAGCAACCCGTAGCTCCCTAATCACTCTACAAATTACAACCTACTAACCCACAAAACATCCACCTCACCGAAGCTAAAAGCAAGAAAGCAGAGGGGATTTCCTCGTCCACTGCAGGAGTAAACCGAACAACTGGAACCAAGCCCTAAGAACTAGACGCGAGAGATCAAAAACTACTAGTTTTCTACGCTCGCACTATCAATATTGGATATTGGATATTGGATACCTTTCACCACTGTCACACTACTACTTTTCGGACTTCTTCACTGGCATGAATAGAGAAAGACCTATAATTTTCTGAAAAACCTGTAGCTTCCTATCCATCTCATCCTAAATGTTGCCAATATAGAGGGGTAAAAGGAAACAAAGAGGGCCAGACCCGAGAAAAGTCGCGAGAAATCAAAGACAACCAGTTTTCCATATTTGCTCTATCGATGTTGGAATGTATCTTGACCTTGGCACACTAATGGAATTTCTGCTGCGGTTTTTGTTGTGGCTGCTTGTACTTTAGCCTCACCCATTCTGTGTAAGTATTTCCAGTAAAGTTATAAATTTTGTTTTCCTTGAACGATAATCAAGCAAAGCTCGGAGCATTGGAAGATAATATTTATTTCTTAAAAGGTTTATAATTCGGAATTGAAACGAAGTTACGATACATACATACTACTTTTTGATGATGCTAAGGTACTTACCTAGGTTTTTTGACGAGTTCTCTTGACCTGAAGTGGAAACGCAGTAAATGTATTCATTCTTATAACCCGAAGGCAGTGAACTATCCGATGTGTGATAAGAGCGTAAATGAGCCCTAAGATGACCCCTTTTTGCTTCTAAAATAATCGCATAAATATCTGTTCAAATGTATACGAATTAGGGTCTAAGAAATGAAGACAAGGTCGTGGCATTGGAAAGCAGGTTATGATATATGGCTTCTGAAGTTTAAAACTTTAAAATTTAGTCGTAAAACAGTCAATGGGATAAATTCCCAACACTGATAAATAAGGAATAAATTTGTTGCGTTTGTCCGAGAGTTACTTGGCTTATCGTTGTCACGGGAAAGAAAAGCTAACTACTTCCCTACCTATTCGTCTAGTCAACAGTTTCATTTTAGGTGCAATCAGTTGCTCAGGTATAGTTCTTCAAGCTTTTTGTTGAGAATCTTTTCATCAGTCCTAATCAGTGATTAAGACAAATAACTCAGAGAAAATAGACCTTCGTGACAAATGTTCTGGAAATGGGTTGTTGTACTAAGAGGAGCTGAATGATACTTTGAGCTGTGTTAAGGAAATTTTAAAGGAATACCTGAAATTCTAGAAGTCAACTTTGGGTAACTTTCAGAACCTAGGACAGGCTCGAAATCCCTGCTAGTTGGGAAGCTGCTGTCATAATTATTGTTTCAAGATGATCTGTCGCATAACCACGACAGAAACAAATTGCATTGTACATTATGTTGAACTAAACTTTAGTGACGGGAGTCTTTTAAGGCAGCTCTTATCAGAGCGGTTACTGTGTATCAAGGTTATTGTTGTGCACTCTTTTACCATGACTTTATTTAAGCTATTGGTGTGCGAGGTTCTACGTTGATTTCGTTTCTCAGTGGTGATTTATGACGAAGAATATGTTGTCGCTTATTTTGAGAGAGTTGAATTACTTGCGAAAAGTGTAAGTCGTGAGTATATTGTTTTAATGGCTTGTCTACCTAACAATGAGGAGAGTGATAGTTTCCTCTCTCCACATCCCAGATGTTATAAGAATAAATTTCTTAGGACAAGGTGGTTTTCCAAATAATTTCGTGTAACTTTCCAGCAGATCTTAGCACTTAACTGAGTTATTTAAACGTCTGTAATATCAGCTAGATCCATAACATGTTGGTGAAATTTCCTACGTGGAGTATTAGCAATCCAGAGATGTTTGCTGGGAAGTGATGTCCAGGCTGTGTGTGACGTTTGGTGGAGAGAATAATGTGGTGCAAATATATGAACGTCTTGTTCGAAAACTTAATGCAACTGAGAAAGATGAATCAAATAGGACTGGATAACTTACATTCGTATGTCTTGGCAAATCAAAGATTTTAGGTTGGAATTAGTCATGGACTGACATCAGTTGGAGGAACATTTGAACTCTAAGTTTATTGGTGTATACTATCGAAATACGAAGTAAGGACATTCTCAGTGCTTAAAGAACTGGCCAGGCGAATCTGTCCCAGCATTTACAGGAAAATGAGTGCATCGGTACCTACTATATACTCAGATGCTTGGAATTCATACATGCCGTTATCTAAAACGGGTTACCGCCATCGTTTGGCTGAGTAGCAATACAGACAGTGATATGGTTTCAAAGACGATAAACTCATTGAATATCAAGATATCTTTATTTCCAATGTAAAACAACGTTATAATTTGTGAATAAAACACCATTTCTCTTACTAATTATGATGTCTTTCATATACTGGATTCCGATTGATCATTGCGGACCCGAATGTGATTGGCTATCACCAGAGTTTAGTTGAACCACGTAGCGTTATCTTCACTAATGTCGGAGCTGTGGCCCAGTGGTTTAAGATAACTATCGGTCATTGGGTCACGAGTTTGAACCCCACCCTACCTACAGGGGTTTCGGCAGCCAGTTAGTATCCCTAGCCCTCACACAGTAGTTATGGCTCATTACCTGCTGCATGGATGTGCGTAAGATGACTGAGTGCGTTTCCTCCCTTCGTTGATGAAGTATCTAGTTGGAATTAAATCTGGAGAACGAGAATAACTAGATCAACCTTTTTAAGTCATTTGGTTGGTTGTGGCCGTTCATCGCTATCGTTATCTATTATGGGTATGGCTGAAGGAATGAAACCATTTCCCAAGTAGTCATCCAAGTGGTTGGACACCGTCTTATTTTATTTAAGTGTCGCTATAATTCACTATAAATCTTATCTACTGAATTTCCTCTTGTATGATCTGCGTTGCTGTGAATCTCTTTCATGCATTGCTGAAGAGTTCCATGAGCGCAATTTGTGTGAAATAGATAGTATTCAGAGTACTATTTATGTGTGGTAGACGTATATATATATTTGAAAACACTGAATCATTTAGATGTGTATATTCTGAAAGCAATAAGTGAAACAACTAAATGTCATTCCTTGCCATAATTAAAAATTTTCTCGAAGAACAGTCATGATTTCTCAATTTTATGACTGTTCATGGAATGCTTTCTTGGAAAGTTTTATATCAGCGTCCTTGACTTTAATACGTTGGACAAAAATAAATTACCAAAGCGTTGACTGTATTATCAGATCTTCTACATTGCTATTGTTTGCCTTGTTTCACCTTCATTGTTATGCATTCTCTTTCGTCCAATGGCTCAATCTACTATGTTTCCTCTCTAAGATGCCCCAACAGATTGACTTTATTGCTAACAGAAAATAATAGCTTAATTCACAATGCGTTGTATTAGACCTTTGCTCTTGTCATATATTTTAATCTTTTAATCCAGTTTCAGAGATATTATGTTTGAGTAGAAATTATCTATAATTTATCTATTGATTACAGCAGTATTAGTACACTTGCAAGTGAGCATTATTGTAAGGAGTTTCAATTCGGGTTTCGGTATAAGGTGGAGGGTTACGAGCTTATATTATTCCTTTTGAACCAGACCTCTTTTGTTGTCTGGTTTTCAGTTGAATGAGTCGATTGGTGATGCGGTAACCTACTCTTCTAGAAGTTCCAAGAATTTATCAGTCGACTCAAAAACAGCACTAGACGGTGATAGCATTCGTCCTTTGCACTTTGTTTCCGATGCCTGACCACATGATAGCCTGTGACTTTTGAGCTTATCTCTTCTGCTTCTAATCTGAATTTCAACACGATACACGGCTTGTTTTTTGATTCGACCAGTGAGAGATAAATCCTTTCTTTCAAAAGTCCTCATTCCCTGCAGTTTATAAGCATTCCTCAGAATGAATTCCGTCTCCTCCATTGACAGACATTATTAGGCTGTCGCGCTGTATTTTTGGCAGGAGCTACCCTTTTCTCCTCTAATCTTTATATCTTGGTAAAGTAGTCCCAGATATTTACCAGTAAAAACTTGTCCACCAAAATTTACACCTCGGTGAAATCATGTTCAAAGGCCCTTGGGATTATGGTAATTATTTTCTT